CAAAAGTTGAGGGAGTGAATGAAGTGAGCTACAAAACGGAAAGACCAATGCAGGCGAGCGGGTGCGAGCGCGGGTAACCATAGCAAACCCGCGTGATGCCCTTGAAGCTCGACCGCGCAGTACCTGGGAAGGCGGCCCAATACAAAACTCAATATTATTTACTAGAAAAATATTCTGATGCGGTGCCTGTCAATCGATAGCAGAGATGGAGAGCTTTACTTTGGTCCAATTAGTCTTTGTTTTGGCCGAGTTTTGGCCAATCGGCATGCATTTGATTACGCCCCTCCAGAGGAAGTAGTTGATTACCGGTGCTTACAGATCGCTCAGAACAGCTGCCACCAATTGAGAAAGTGGCCTTCGTCTGCTCTCCAATTCCCACCACCAGGTCGTATTACAGTATATGACTTCGGATAGCATTACATGTAGAACGCCAACTAACTCAGCTTTCGCTATTTTAGATGTTCTATTAAGCAATTTTTTCAACGTTTTCAAGCTGCAGTCATGGTGTATAAATCTTGAAACAGCACCAAATATTCTAGTTGAATTATTCAACACCGTTACGCTGAATATCAATACTTCGAAGTAGTATTCTTGATCGCAGTGCAAAAGCATTTCAACGTAACCAGTGCTGGTTCTAACCTTTATCTGGCTGTTTATGGTCAGCGGAAGTGCTTTACGCTCGGTACAACACAACAGTCCTGTGACCAAATTTGTTCAAGTTGTACAAAGAGTTAGCCAGCCGCTACCTACATTCAAATATTCTTGCATGCCCAGTATCCAAGATTGTATTTGCAAGCAATCAGATCTATGACAGTCAACTTCCCAAACGTGCGGTGATACTGTAGAATCAGGTTTGTGCCGAATACACCCGGACACCCAGCTCTAACCTCGATTGGGAGTGCCCTCACGCCATCCAGTCGTAACCCTAACCGTAGCGTTCTATTGATGTTGGGGCCACAAAAAAATACCTAAGCAACCCAAATACACCCGCTATATGCCCGCCTTTCCCTCGTTAAGAGTGGTAGCACTACAATAGTAGACTTCTTTATTGTCCAGTGCTTGCCGTGCTTCTTGAATGCAACTTCAGAGCTTGGTGCACCCTCCTCTCACTACTGCCACTGCCCGTTCAGTGCGAAAGGAATCTCAACGTTTTGCCATTCGTAGGGACGTTCACTGTGGCAACAACGCTGTTCACTCCATAAAATGACTAGCAGCGCGTTCAGAGGCATAGAGACCTTCCATTTTAACGTAAATCGCATGTAACCGCTTCTTCCTAATACAGGCCGTGCCTCTTTTTAGTATGGGTGTCATGATTACAGCCGGAGTATAAAATTACAGGCGTCGAAGATCGTCATGTACAGCATTATAAAATTACGTAGCACTGCAACTGGAGTCAATCATAGGATATTTTAAAAGCACGATCGGTGGCGCATCTCCAGTGAATGATCTATGTTCCTTTTCTAGGGCTCTTGGAAATCGGGTGTTCGTCGTTGCATTGAAAGTGATGAACTGAATACATATAGCAGGTGAATTAAGGCCTTACCTCGTAGCTCCGTATTATAGTCACAATGCGACTCAAACACAGTCAGTCGGCCCACCGCGACCTGAGGTCTGAAAGTAATACTTAACGGAAGTTAAGATAATCCAGGACGCACAGGTCCAGACGGAGTTCTCCGTTGAGTAGCTCTGACATGAGTAGGTTGTCTAATCGAATTTAGCGTCGTAAGTACTATCATAAATCACGGTCATTATGGTGCCCGAATCCTGAGTCCCATGATTAAGTAGCTGTCCACCCGCGGCGTATCAAGAAGCCTCCTCACGTGTTGACAACAGTTGTGCTTGGACATGCATCGTGCGGGATATGTTCATCTCCAATCACACACTTAGACAAGGCTCAGTAGGTGACCACACGGACTGAGATTGGTCAGACGAGTAGAGATATTGTCGGATTAACCCTCGAGATACTTGAGTAAGTGGTTGAGGTACAATGCTGGTACAACTTGGTTTACAGCTACATGGCGATCTCGTGGCTGCACACGTAGTTACAGAAGTAGGGACGCTCTTCCATACTACCTATCAATCCGATGTTGGGTTGAATTTGCGTGGTACATTCTGAACTACGAGATATTGCACATCAACCTATCCAAAGAGTGATCTATCTATCCCAATAGCAACTCTGAGTAAACCCGGAGAGGTACAGTATTATAGTACACGGAGCGTACTCGCGGCGGTGCGACAATCTCTAAGAAAAAAAGGCAAGATTTGTCGCATGTTTACTTTGGTAAAGTGGTCCAAGTCCCGTTAGTATCTTGAGCTTCTATAGTATATTTTATTCAAGTACCATCACCAGTGGTTGTTCTCATTTTACGATCATCACCACCAGTGTCAGTTCTCATTTTCGCTTCCAGCCAGATAAACTCCCAAGTCTCCAAGTGTCCCGACCATGCGTCTGTCTTTCATGCTGGCGGTGATGACGGCCATCACCTACTTCGTGGCCTGTACCGCGGCTGCGGATTCCGACGTAACAATGGATTCACCAGACCTCGTCCGTTCACTCGATGCAACAAAGTACATCGATGGTGCCCGCAGAAAACTTCTTCGAGGACATAAGGACTCTGAAACGGAAGAGCGCGGTCTTGCGGACTGGCTGGAGAAGAGTAATGTCAAGAAATTGGCTAAGGAAATCTTGAAAGACTATACGAAGGGTGACGCCGCATACACGGAATGGGCTCAAAAGGGTTATACCCTGGACAAAATGAAGAAGCTCCTGGATATCGAGAAAAAGGACAAGTACCTTTCGGTCTACAATGACTATGTTTCGCACTTGTATCAGCTCTAAGAGACCGGGCGGAAACAAGTGTTAGTGCTTTGGTATTTGCATGACAGCAATCAACCACGATGGCGAGACAGAATAAACTTCAAAAGCAATATATCTGGCATTCTTTTTGACACTTGATCGCCATGTAAATATTTGAGGTTCGAGTGAATATATTACTAACTCAAGCATACTTAAGAAAAGCCAAGCATCGTGAAGTAATTTAGTGCTGCCCTCACATCTAAATTAGCGACAACCGATTCCCCTCGTCACCGACCTTCTTTCGTGTATTCTCGTCAAACAACGTCTGTCACGAGTTCCTCCGAGTTTTTAAAACGAGATTCTAAATCAATTAAATAGCTAAGGGATCGAAGTGAATGTTTGCATGCAAAAGGGCACGAGTATGTATGTTCTCGGCTAAGCTTCCTTGTATGTGGATGTACTGCTAATTTTAACAACAAATGACTAAAATTAAGCCAATTCTCTGGAGCTTATATCCAGAGGCCCACCCAGGATTGTAACCACGTTGTAATCCTTAGATTATTAACACCTAGTATCAAACGATATAGATACATCCCCTTTTTTTTTTTTTCCGTTCCTTCTTAAAGTAATTGTTAACCGGAAAACCGGCATTCGGGGTTTTTTTGTTTTTTTTTTTTCTGTTAGGAGGATTTTTAATAACACAAGAATACAGTAGCAGATTTTACATCTTAGAAACAAAACTATATTCGCTCACATCCCCCGTATCACGGGCTGTGATATCTTCTAGCTGGATTTTTGACTAATGAGAATTTTGATTTTTTGCTGCCAAATCTAAACACAAAATAGCAGTTTCACGAGAAAACTCGGGTGTTTTAACGTTAGAACGACTGCTGTTTGGAATTCTGCAAAGATATTATTTTGCGAGACGGTATTGTTACACACAGTAACCTTTTGGATATTATACTATCCGTGAAGGTTGGCCCATCCAGAGACAATTACAATGAGTGTCTGTTAGAATTATTCGCAACTTTCGGGTAACACTCGTAGTTTATCCGATATTTTGTGTACCCATCGGGGTTGACAACCATCCACCAATCACCACAGTTCAGCCGGCGATAGCAACGTGACGTTGGCAAACATCGCTAGCTCTGTCTGGAATTGACTTGACTTGGGAGTTCGTATGTCCAGGACGCCGACGACTGTATACAGGATCCGATTGGATAAAATTTCGGTTGTGCATACTGCCCTACAGTAAGAAGAAAAACGGGACGTGACTCCAACACCACGATGTAAGTACACTGAGCAAAAAATACATTATAATGAGGCTAACCACTTGTCTGTCCTGTCGATCTCTCCGCTGTGTCAGTCATTAGCAGGTTTCTGCCGCTTTCGCGGTGTGAAAGGGAGGCTACGAGTTCGGCTAGATTCTGCTTCGCGAACTAGCCGCAGCACTGTGGTAAGTTTGATCTGGGTTACTCTGCGCTTCCTTTTACTCGGCTTTAACTTTAGCATCTGATATCCTGTGTTGAACAGCTTAACGGCTTGAGCTTCATCACGAATTACAGGCAGTGGCAAACCAGTTTTCTCTTCGATCCCACAAACAATGTGCCGCATTAGCATCGACCACTCTGACAGTGTTGCTTTCTTTTTTGGTGTGTCTAGGTCATCGGAGTAAATGCTTTGGTAAGGAGGGTATCCACGCCGGATGTCTCCAAACCACCATAGCCTCCACGCCCCAAGAGAATCAATACTAGGAAAATCAAAGTCTTTCCGCAGCCGATGAATCTTCCCCTTACCGGAATTCTTTGTAGAACCTGATTGGTTTGTTTCAGCCTAATATCGTTTAATCCCGGAAAAGATCCTCTTCATTCCCTCTCCATATTCTACTGGCAACGACAACTCTTTCGTACGATAAAGATCCTTAATAGCGCTCCTGAATCCACTTAGCGTTACAGCTTTTACACGAGTCCGTTTGTAAGCTAGAAAATCCTCAAACACCGCTGGAGTGAACTCGGAGAGGTTAAGGTCACCATCGGCTGTAAAATACCGAGCAATATTTGGATCTAAAGCAGACCGTTCTTTTCGTAGCCACTTCTTGATCCCGTTGATGCTCCCTGTATACTTATTTCTTGTATCGCGCGATATGCAAGCATCACGAAGAGCCTTCGGATCGACGAAGATAGCGTCCTCCTGTGAACTTCTTGCAGGCATTTTTTTCTGTGAAGTGATGATATGCGCTGGATATCATTCAATTTTTGCCAATTACAGCGACGCCTTATCGTCGGTTCCTGGTGCACACGATTTCTTAACATAATTCGATTCTTGATTGCCTTTAGTAAATCTCAGTCACTCAGCGGCGTCAGGATTCACAGATTCCGGAAATCATAAGCCGATCCGCCGACGTTTTGGTTGAAAGTGCCACATAAAACTTACGTAAGTTAGAGAATGGGAGATTTCATTTACTGACGGCCGTACCTCATGACTAATACTATACGCTGATGGGTGAAGCACACGTATTTTACGGCCAGGGTGTTTACTGGCGTATAGCATGTTTTGAACAGGTTTGAACTATTATTCTATATGAAGCAAAACACTTGTAACCTGCTGGAATAATGGATGTACTCATGCGTTCTGAGCTCTTGCCGTACTCATAAACTACACTGAAACACTAAGCAGATACTGCGGCTGCTTTGCAGCCGCAGGAAATGCGCCGACGACAAGCGTACATCATGGGTATCCACAACAAATGCACTTAGTCTTTCTATACAAGCCAAGCGTGGCCCCACAAATGGAGATATTTATGCAGATTTTGGTCGAAAAGACGTATAGCCTGCATCGCTTCGCTCAGCGAATTTTGATTCTGTTTAGACTGAATGATTAAATTTTTAGACAGTAGTTGGACCTCGCTTCACTCGTCGGAGAATACTATAAGCTTATATATTTCTTGCTGTAGTGAGAATAATACCCCCCCCCCCCAAGTATAATACTTCCTCCGGTTGATAATGATCACCAGAAGTTAATATGACAGGTCCAGAGTTTATTTTACAGTGATTATTGCATTGCGTTATTCAGTGACTGAAGTGATCTATTAAGCGTCATACAGTAAAGCACTGCACCGGTTTGCCGAGGACAATAGTGCTGTTGCAGCTTCGTAAGTTCTATACTCCAGTTTAGATTGACAGGAAGACGCTTTTTCGTCCGGAGTTTGGCTTTCCCTAAATG